GCAGCAACCCTGACCCCGCACCTCTTCTTCGTCCTACCCCCCCCCGACCCTCCTGCTCCCCCCTCGGCCCCAGCACCTGCTTGGCTCTTTGCAGCACCCTGCTTCCCCTTGGCCCCCCCCGGCCCCGCCCCGGCTGCAGGCTCGCGGAGCTGTCCCGGGGGCGGAAGGAGACGGGGTCTTTAGGGGGGGGTCACTCGGCCCCTGCGTTACTTACGGGACACGCTCCCCGACCAACCTTTGCTCCCGCTCGAGTGACTGACAGCGCTGGACGACAGCCAATGGGGGCTCGGCGGGCCCGGGATGGGCGGAGCCGGAGGGAGACCGAGGAGGAGCGGGCTGGATAGGGCGTGGTCTCAGTGAGTCTGGACCAATCCAAGGAGAGTCCGAGGAGAAGGGGCGGGACGTGGGAGCATTGACCAATCCGAGGTGGCTCCACGGGTCTGGGGCGGGGTTAGAGTGTCCCGGGCCAATCCAGGGAGGGTTCTCAGGGAAGGAGGTGGGGTCCTGGGAAGTGGGCGGGGCCTGAAGGAGGGTGGATCAGATTAGTCTGAAGCCGGCCCGCGCGCTTCAGACTAATGAAGGTCAGAGGGGGGCGGAGCTTCACTATTGCCGCGCCCGTGGCCAATCAGAGAGCGGGCCGGTTGTCGTGGCGCGATTTGGGCGGGAAGCCGGGAGGGCGGTTGAGCGGCCGTTGGGCGCGCGCTGGGACTGAGGGGGCGGGGCGGGGCGGGGCGGGGCGGACCCGCCCCGCCCCAGACATTAGGGGCGGGTGGGCGAGGGCTGAGAAGAGCGGGGGGACCATGTGAACCCGTGTGGGGTCTGCCCCAGTCCAGCCAGGGGCCTGTTGGGGGGTACCCCCCACCTCACCCCAGCACCCCCCCAAGGCTGGCAGGGCGCCCCGGGGGCAGGCACGCGCCTGCCTCAGACCCCCTGCTGCTCCGGCTTGTGAAGGGAAATCCGCCCCCCAGCTGCTGGAGTTCTGTGCGGGCCAACAAGCACTGCACAAGGGTGTTGCCGGGCCCGAGGGGGCAACAGGGTTCGTTGCCCGGTGTGCGTTGCACCAATAGACACACCAGGGTGGGGACGCCAACCACGTTTAGTCGAGATCTCGAAAAGGCACTCAGGAGACCAGCCTGTCTCAAATCAGAAGTGCAGCACATACAAGCTAGTTTCCCATTTTATAGTCCAAGCTGTTTGTGTGCAAGCCTGTGTTCTGTTCCCCCCTCCCCTCCCTTCCCGACAGTGGTTACAGCAAGCAGTACATTGTGGCGTGTTAGAAAAGTTCTCGTCTGGATGTTTATCTTTGGCCTTGCAAGCTGAGACGTAGTAGGCTTCTCCCTCCCACTTCTTATCACTACTGCTTCTGCTAGTGTGAGCGAAACTGCAGCTGTCTGCTAAAAAAGCTGACCGTTACATATTCTGCTTCATCGTTTAGGCTGTTAGCATGGGGGCTGGTTAAAGTTCACAAGATGGAGTTACTGTGGCTCACTTAGACCCAGAGCAGGGGGGTTTCATCGGCACTTATGGCCTTCCACCCCCCCAAGTTATCTGGTAACTATGTCTAGTGATGCCAAGAAGGGGGATCCAGGGGATATCATGTACTTAGATTTTCAGAAGGCCTGAGATGAGGTCCCTCAGCAAAAGCTCTTAAGCAAAGTAAGCTGAGAAGAGGGAAGAATCATAGAATATCAGGGTTGGAAGGGACCTCAGGAGGTCATCTAGTCCAACCTGCTGCTCAAAGCAGGACCAATCCCAACTACATCATCCCAACCAGGACTTTGTCAAACCTGACCTTAAAAACCTCTAAGGAAGGAGACTCCACCACCTCCCTAGGTAACCCATTCCAGTGCTTCACCACCCTCCTAGTGAAATAGTGTTCCCTAATATCCAACCTAAGCCTCCCCAACTGCAACTTGAGACCATTACTCCTTGTTCTGTCATCTGCCACCACTGAGAACAGTCTAGATCCATCCTCTTTGGAACCCCTTTTCAGGTAGTTGAAAGCAGCTATCAAATCCCCCCTCATTCTTCTCTTCTGCAGACTAAACAATCCCAGTTCCCTCAGCCTCTCCTCGTAAGTCATGTGCTCCAGCCCCCTAATCATTTTTGTTGCCCTCCACTGGACTCTTTCCAATGTTTCCACATCCTTTTGTAGTGTGGGGCCCAAAACTGGACACAGGACTCCAGGTGAGGCCCAGTGGTGAGCTGGAGCTGGTTCCCACCAATTCGCAGGAACCGGTTGTTAGAAGCCCTTGTTCCGGGACAACCGGTTCTGAAAGGGCTTTTAAATTTAACAAAAGCTTCAGCAGCTGTCCACCCCGGCCCCAGCCCCAGCTCACTTCCCCCTCCTCCCCTGAATGCTCCGCCCCCCATCTCCCCCTCCCCTGCCTCCCGCGAATCAGATGTTCACGGGAAGCCTGCAACAAGCAGCAGGCAAGTAAGCTGAGGCGGGGGGGGGGGCGTGAGGAGGGCTCCAGGGAGGCGTGGCGCTGCCCAGTCTGGCCCCGGCTGAGCGCCAGCGGCGCCAGCCAGGACCCACACCGGCCCTGCGGCACCGGCCGAGCACCCCCGGCTCCAGACCCGCGACTCTGGCCCCAGCGACTCCGGCCCGGCTTGGGCCCCGCGGCGCCGGTCCTGGTCGAGCAGCTCCAGCCCGGCTCGGGCCCTGCGGCGCTGGTCCTGGTCCTGGCTGAGCGGACCTGGTCCTGGCCGAGTGGCTCCAGGCAGCGGGGTAAGGGGGCAGGGAGCAGGGAGGGCGTGTTGGAAGAGGGCAGGGGAGTTGAGGGGGATGGATAGGGGTCGAGGCGGTCAGAGGGCAGGGAACAGGGGGATTGAATGGAGGCAAGGGTTGCGGGCAGTCAGGAAGGAGCAGGGGTTGGATGGGGCAGTGGGGGGCAGTCAGGAGCAGGAGTTCAAGGGGAAGTCGGGGACAGAGAGAAGGGGTGGTTGGATGGGGCAGGGGTCCCGGGGGGGGCCATCAGGAATGAGAGGAGGGGTTGGATGGGGCAGCAGGGGGCAGTCAGGGGACAGAGAAGGGACAGGAGTCCCCGGGGGGGCACGACCCCCTCGTGGGGTGAGGAGGAGGGAACCTGTTGATAATATTTTGGCAGCTCATCACTGGGTGAGGCCTCACCAATGTAAAATAGAGGGGAATAATCACATCCCTCGATCTGCTGGCAATGCCCCTACTTATACAGCCCAAAATGCCGTTAGCCTTCTTGGCAACAAGGGCACACTGCTGACTCATATCCAGCTTCTCGTCCACCTAATCCCTAGGTCCTTTTCTACAGAACTGCTGCTTAGCCAGTCGGTCCCTAGTCTGTAACAGTGAATGGGATTCTTCCATCCTAAGTGCAGGACTCTGCACTTGTCCTTGTTGAACCTCATCAGGTTTCTTTTGGCCCAATCCTCTAATTTGTCTAGGCCTCTCTGTATCCTATCCCTACCCTCCAGCATATCTACCACTCCTCCCAGTTTAGTGTCATCTGCAAACTTGCTGAGAGTGCAGTCCACACCATCCTCCAGTCCAGATCATTAATGAAGATAATGAAC